CCGAAACTAGGTGTTGACTGATTCCGAACATTATAATTATTTGACATGAAGGGAAAAAAAGACAGTTCAATTTCGTACCTTAAAGCCGGTTTTCGGGTACAGTTCTTTTGCCATACTTAGCCTCTCTTGAGCCACCAAATCATTGCGTCCTGTAACCATCTCAGGATCGGTCATGTATCGTTTTACCTTGACCATCCAATCCTAAACCGACCGGTTTCGATGTTTTCGTACTAAACCGACCGGTTTTCGACCTGTTTTTTTCTGGGTTGGAAGTTTTCGACTTGAATTAAGCAAGAAACACATTTCACGTTTCAAACATGGAAAACCGGTTTAAGCCCTGATCGATGAAGTAAACCGTTCCATAACACAGTTCTTCAACATACTTACCCTTTCTTGACCCACCATCTCTAGACCAGCCCCGTGTTTCATCCAAACCTAAACCGGCCGGTTTCTGCATGTAAGTAACAATCTGGAACAAGAATACGAGTCAAAACGCATAGAACCCGTCAACAAAAGTTGCAGATTCCTAGAAATAAGCTGCGGAAAATAAAATACTAAGAACAGTTTTAATCATTCATTCCCTTTTTTTTTTGTTTTTGTTCTCTTTGTTCTTTTCTTGAGCCGTGAAATCCAAAGAGAGAAAGAAAAAGTGTGCACTTACAACAGTGGCTGCATGTCTGATTGGCAAATCGGGTCATCGATCGTCCCTTTGCTTTTTTGGTTTGTGAGGGTTCCTATCGTGAAGGCTCCCCATTGAGTGAGTGGCAAACAAGGAAAGGCCCGATTACGAATATAATAAACCATAATTACAACAGATATCCAAACACTAACCCACAATTACTTGATATAATAATGGCTTTCTCAGACATGTAGGCGCGGTGACTCACGTACTCTACTCACCCAATCCTAACCCCATGTTTTTTGGCATTTCTAAAAAGAGCTTGATCTCGACGTCCATGAAAGATTATAGTTCCTCCTGCCTGTTTTGCCTTGAATAAAACAAAAGAGAAAATGGTCTCTCAGATTGGTCTTCACAAAAAAAAAAAAAACCCTAGATACTGTGGTTTTTCTTTGTGTGTCAGCATGCAGAATGGCTGGCATTTGCGTTGCATGCAATAATTTATCATGTATATGCCCTTTGGGTTCGAGCTCGTACTTCTAGGAGTTGAGGATGGATTCCATATTTGTTAAAAGGAAAAAAGAATAATTGTAGTTACAGGCAGATCGAAAAGGCTCTTTTTAGTGCATAAATTAGGAAACCCTTCCCAAAACAAGAATGAAAGTGTAGCCCACAAAGGAGACCCTGAACAATCAACCCTACAACACCTTTTCTTCATTAAAAAAAAAAAAAAAAAAAAAAAAAAAAAAAGAAACCCTAAGAGCGTCCTTGTTGTTATATATATATATATTTCCTCCAAATCCTGAGCTTATAAAAACCCTATGTGAAAAAAATATCTCCTCTTCATCGTCACAAGAAAGAAAAAAAGAAAATAGCAAAAAAAAAAAAACATGACAGGTACTGGATCATCTTGTGGAGCGTGCAAGTTTCTAAGGAGAAAATGCAGCAACGATTGCGTGTTTGCTCCGTACTTTTCCTACGACCAGGCGTCGGCCCATTTCTCGGCAGTGCACAAAGTGTTTGGAGCAAGCAACGTGTCGAAGCTGCTCTTACACTTGCCCGTTCAGAACAGAAGTGCAGCCGCCATTACCATATCCTTCGAAGCTCTTGCCCGAATGAGAGACCCTGTTTACGGTTGTGTCTCTCATATCTTCGCTCTCCAACAACAGGTCCAATCCTAAATCCATATAACCTCTTATATGTCTGAAACTAGTCTCTTCTGTGCACTCCAGTAAGAACCAGAAAGATTCCATTTACGTTTCCACTGACCTTGGAGGGAATTTGATCTTAGGTTATGAGTCTGCAAGAAGAGATCGAGCTTCTCGGTACCCAGATGGCGAATTTCGGGTATTGTCAAGTCCCAACATACCAAAGTAACAAGACACAGCAGCAACTCATGTCACAGCTTCAACCAGTCACCATGCAAGATCTTCATAACCAAACAGAAGAAGCAATCAACTTCACCAGTTTCGGCGACCAGTTCATGTATGGACAACTTGGTGAGAACTGTCTCCACCATGATCAGTTCTTCATCGCCGATCCTCAGGTCCTGGTGAACCATCATCCATGGCTTCTTAACATGGATTATTACACGACGTTAATGGACGTGGAGAATCCCGCATGGAACTGATTGATAGAGTTTCAACTTCTGCTTCAGACGAGGAGATTGGGAGAAAACTCTCCTTCTTCGTTCCAAACTCAGGAACAAGTTTTGTTGTCCGTCGTCTTTGCCATCTCTTGTTGCTTGTCTTAATTCACGTCATGTGGTTTATTCGACCTTATATATATATATATAAGCAGTGGGTGAAGTCAACTCCATATTGTATAATAAATCTTATAGATTATCACAAGATTGTCTGGAACTGAACTGTAAGAAAAAATTTCAGATTGTTCATGTTGACTGTATGTATGCATGTATGCATGTAATTGTATAAATAAAGATGGTTAATGATGGACCAATTCTTTGTGGTAATCAAATTTTTCTACCACAAAATCGACGACAGATTAGTTTTATGAGTTGATACTGAATTCGCTGTTCATCTCACAAATCGGCAGTCAAAAGTTTTCATTTGCCCTTTTATAATATGCACGACGAAAATGTAGAGGCTATAGATACAGGGAATATATACATACATACACATATACGTAAACAGACAAGAACATGCACAACCACAAGATGTATAAACTCTGCAAGTAGAGTAGATACGATCAAAGGCTCCAAGATTCAGGATTTCAAGTCGCAATTCAGCGTTTTAAACAGTAATCTTGGCATTGCTATGTACACTCATCGATTCCGCATTTCAATGTTTGATCATATCTACTCTGAGTCAGGATTTCTGACAAGAACGATGATGTCAGAGGAACAGAGGAAGCAAGTCTCTGACTAAATAGATAGATGTGTTCCTCTGACAAAACAGAGATCTTCTGTCATAACACAAAGAATCAAACCACAGATTGCAAAAAGGCAAAAGTACAGCACTGCTTTCTTTCTTTTTATTCCCTTTATGATGTTCATGTTCTTCTTCTGTCTCACAGATCTTTTATCAAGATGCTTTTTTTTTCTCTCCATGAGAAGAAGCTTTGAAGAAAAAAGAACAAACCACAACAGAAGCAGCAGAAACTAAAAGATATTTCTAAGTGTTTCCACTTTGAGATCGCAAAACAAAAGGGAAAAAAAAAATCTGAAAACCAAATTTGTTCAGACCAAAACTCAGCACAGATCCTGAATTCCCATTCTTGACTTTGAAAGCTCAAAAACTCTCTCCCGAGTCCTGCGGAGAAAAAAGCAGTCCAAAACCAGCTTCAGTATGGATCAAACATCAACCTCTACTATCTGAAAGTCTCTGGAAAACAGACACAAGAACAAGAACCCGAAACTCACCCTATTGTTGCTGAGAACACCACTCTCTCGCGTTTTGGAACATCTTCAGCCACGGGCTTGGACCGGCCTTGTCAACGTTCCATTGCTTCGGGTACCACGGGAACTGCCACATCAAGAAGCAGCGTTCCGGGTGAGGCATCATTGCAAGATGCCTACCGTCGGGGGAACATATGGCAGCAATTCCCATTGGAGAGCCGTTGAGGTTAAACGGGTAAGCCTCTGTAATATGCCCGTCATCATCACAATACCTCAAAGGAGCAAGATCGGAGTGGAGCATCCTGTCCAAGACTCCCTCATCGGGGAAATAGGCACGTCCCTCTCCGTGAGCTGCCCATACGCCCAAAGTGCTTCCCTCCATGCCTTTCAGCATTATGGCGGGCGAATCCTTTATGGTCACACTTGTGAACCGGCACTCGAACCTGCCTGACTCGTTATGAATGAACCTCGGCTGTGAGGTGTCTCCACCCGAGCCAAGAGACCCCCCAACTTGAGGGCCCGGAACCCATCCCAGCAAAGCCATTAGCTGACACCCGTTGCAGACCCCGAGGCTGAAGGTATTGGGTCTTTTGTAAAACTCCTGAAATTGATCCAGAAGAGGCTGGTTGAAACGTATGGAAGCAGCCCATCCTTTTGCTGAGTCAAGCACATCAGCATAGCTGAATCCTCCGACAAAAACGATTCCTTGAAACTGATCCAAGGTGATAGCTCCACTAAGAAGATCAGACATTGCCACATCCCACGGTTCAAATCCCGCTGCAATGAGCGCTGCTGACATTTCCCTATCCCCGTTGCTACCTTCTTCACGTATTACAGCTACTCTTGGTTTGGCAACTGAAAAAAAGAATGAACAACAACACTTAGTGATCAGTAAATACATAATTCTAACTTTGAAACAACAATAAAATGACAGAACAGATTGGAGAAGTGATCTAACCCTGAGACAGATGTTTCTTGTCTGTCCATGATGGTGTGAAAGTGAGGTTCCATTTGGGTTCATGTCTTGATTTGAGACCTTCTTTCTCCTGCTCTACACATGATGCCAGACGTTGAAACTTCTCCAACTGAAAACTGGTCTCCTCCCACATGTCCCGGAGAACTGATGTCTTCTCGTTTAGATGAGTCAATCCGTCAACCTTAATCTCTATCGAAGGTGAGTCACTAACTTGTCCAACAAGCTCACCAGTAACACCGAAACTGTTGAGCTTCTCCAGAACAGTATCCAAGTTGGACTTGCTGATCTCCATCACAAGACCGAGCTCTTCTGCAAATAGAGTCTCGAAGAGGCTGTTTCCTCTAGAAGCTAAGTCGAGGGTGATACCTCTGTTTCCAGCAAAAGCCATTTCCATGGCTGAAACCAGCAGCCCACCATCGCTTACATCATGCCCCGCAGATATCAAATCATCCGAGATGAGAGATTGAATTCCATCGAAGGCATTTTTGAGATACAGAACATCGTCAAGATCAGGGCAGTCATCTCCAATCTGTCCAAAAGCCTGAGCAAGTGCAGACCCACCCAATCTTCGCTTTCCCTTGGCCAAATCCACATGCACCAGAACACCTTCATCTCCTAGTTTCAGATCTGGAGTGACTGTTTTGGTTATGTCTGGACAAGTGACATAGGCACTGATAACGAGATTTCCCGGTGCTTTAACAACCTCACCATCTGCATGAGCAGCCATCGAGAGACTGTCCTTTCCACCATCAATAGCAATCCCGAGCTCAATCATAGCTTCAGCCAGAGCAGTGGCAGCATCATACATTGCCGCTCCTTCCCCTTCAAGCTTGGCAGCATACATCCAGTTACCACTGGCTTTAACATCAGAAAGACTAGTAACCTTTGCCCAGACCAGATTTGTCAAAGCTTCTCCAACAGCTAGCACCAGAACACCTTCATCTCCTAGTTTCAGATCTGGAGTGACTGTTTTGGTTATGTCTGGACAAGTGACATAGGCACTGATAACGAGATTTCCCGGTGCTTTAACAACCTCACCATCTGCATGAGCAGCCATCGAGAGACTGTCCTTTCCACCATCAATAGCAATCCCGAGCTCAATCATAGCTTCAGCCAGAGCAGTGGCAGCATCATACATTGCCGCTCCTTCCCCTTCAAGCTTGGCAGCATACATCCAGTTACCACTGGCTTTAACATCAGAAAGACTAGTAACCTTTGCCCAGACCAGATTTGTCAAAGCTTCTCCAACAGTTATTTTAGCCATGGCTTTTGGATCGAGCATACCTTTTATCGGTTGCTCGCCAATGGCAGTTGCACCTCCAGTCAGGTCAGTATGTGTCTGTGCTATGACCCCAACATCAGCAAGAGTGATCTGCAACGGACCAACAGTTTGCTGCTGAGCAATAAGACCTGTCACACATCTATCCACTTTGGTCGTCAAGAACCGCTTTGAACCAATGGATGGCAATCTCAGAACCCTTTTCAAAGAATCCATCAATGTGATCCCAGGAGCAATATCTAGAGGCTCTCGTGCATGAACAATACGGTTGAATTCAAATGTCTTCTTAGGCATATCACCCAGCACTTTCTCGAGCTCAAGATCAACAGCAGGAGCAGGAAGAGGCAATCCTTCTTTGCGACACTTCTCAACAGCCTTGCTATCAACTAAAGTAACACGACCACCTCCATTGATTGTTCCGATAACAGCCATGGAAAGCCTTTCTCTGTCACAGATAGATTGCAAAAGCTCCCGACTTTCAGCTTTCACCAGAATAGCATCTTGCTCTTGATATTCTGCACCCCATATCTCCAAAATAGACATGGTATGGTCACCCACAACAACTGCCCGAATGTCAATCTCGGCGCCCTTTGGATAAATGATCTCCTTAACAACGTTACAGTTTCCTCCAGCTCCCTGGTCATGAATGCTAACAATCGGATTCTTCTCACCCATCTCGACACAAGCACGGACAACACGGTACAATTTCTGGGACATCTCAGCATCTCCACGCTGTACAGCGTTGAAATCAAGCTCTGCATCGTTCTGACCGCTTACCATACTCGAAGCAGCCCCTCCTCCCATGCCAATGCGGTATGCAGGTCCACCAATCTTTACAACGAGCATCCCAATCTCCGGCTCCTCTTTAGTTATATGATTATGATCAATCTGTCCAATCCCAGCGCTGAACATGATGGGTTTTAACCATTCTCGTCTATCCCCACTAGGAAGTCTCATTCCAAATGTTCTAGTGTAACCCTGAATCATGGGCTCACCAAATTTGTTCCCATAGTCAGATGCACCATTGCTAGCGTCGATAAGTATTTGTAAAGGTGATGCCAAGTTCGAGGGATATTTGAAAGAAGGGTCTTCCCATGGAGCATAAGATCCCTCAATATTGAGGTTCCCAACACAATAACCAGATGTGGATGCAACAACATAAGAACCTCTTCCTGTTGCATGGGTATCCCTAATCCGGCCACCGGCACCTGTCTCTGCGCCAGGATAGGGAGCCACCGCACATGGAAAATTGTGGGTCTCGGCTGTAAACAATATGTCGAGTTCGCGTGCACTCACATCCAATAGACATGCAGAACCGGGCAAAACTGGTCGTAGCTGGTTAACCAGAAAGCCTCTAATAGCACTGGAGTTGTCCTTAAACCCGATAACAGAGTTATTCCGATTTGCCTGCATAGTCAAACACAAAAGTCTAGAGTTGAATTACACATTCAGAAACTGAAAATCCAAAAGTATTACAGCAAGCCATTCACTTTACCTGCCAGGTGCTCTTTACAATCTGCATAAGAGTCTTATCCACAGGTTTTCCATCAATCACGATCTTCCCTGTGAAGAACCAGTGCCGACTATGCTCGCTGTTGGATTGAGCAATATCAAAGAGCTCTACATTTGACGGATCTCTCTTGATATCCTCCCGGAAAAGTTTTGTATAATACTGCAAATCTTGCTCGTCAAAGGCTAAACCCATCTCCTGGTTAATTTCCTCAAGAGCTTTCCTACCCTTCTCCATCACGGGTACAAACTTTACCTCCTCTGGCACCACATTTGTCTCAAAAGACATCAGCTTTTGAGGGTATACACACTCAGTCATTCGATCATGAACCATAGCAGCAAATTCGTTTATCTGATCTTCCGATAATGTGCCCTCGCTGAACAGAAGATACCTCCTTGACCTTTCCAAGCGAGTTACCTCATTCAGCCCGCACGCTCTACAGATAGAAACAGCATTTGTCGACCACGCTGTTGTGAAAGACAGCCTCGGACCCACTTCAACAATTACAGCATTCGGCCTTTCTTGCTTCGTCTTCTCGAGAAAACTGTCGGTACCTGAGATTCCACTTCTATCATCAGTCAAAAGTACCCAAGGATTTCATAACAAGTATAGCATAATGAAGCATGATGATATAGAATTACTATTAAGAAACAGGGAAGATCAAAAGCACCTAAGTTTTCCGGCTCATATGTTTCTTGAAGAAGCCATTGAAGAACCATTAATTTGTCACCCTGAATTTCTGACTCAAGCCCAATATTGAAACACTGTTCAGTTCTCAACCCAACGATCTGGTTCGAGATTTTGGTCTGAACAGCCTTCAAAAGCTCGGAGTTTGCGCTTTCTTGAATCAGGGGAACGCGATAGAAATGGATAACCTCAGCAGCAGGCTTCTCAATCAAGCTCGGTAGCTCATCAGCAGAAGTAATCGAACCACTCGAAACAACAGCTCTAGGCTTAGACTGAGCAGAACACCTCAATGGGACAGCCTTCGCACCAGACAGAGACAGCCGAGAAGATCGGTTTCTAACCGAAGCCCATAGCAATTGGCTTCTCTTCACTGCCGAGTTTCGCTGCAGAAACAGAGTTTGTCTGGAAGAACCCTGCAACAAGAACGCAGGCGAGACCTAATTGCTTAGAAGAACATCGAGGGAAAAAATCCAAAAACTTCGTGGAAGTAGGGATGAAACACGAGTGAATACACAAAAAGGCGACAACTTTCAGATGAATTTTCACTGGGCGAAATGGAAAGGATTAGAGAGAGAAACCTGCAAGAACTCAGCAGCAGTGATGTCCACAGCGGCGGCCATCTCAACAATGTCAAACACAAATCGTCGGCGCAGAACAGAACCCCTGTTTCGTTCGACCGATTAGAATGTTAAGACCAGAGACAGAGCTTGAGGCTCCGACAGCAAAAATAGGGTTCTGGGCACAAAACCCTCTTCTTCTTCTCCCTTTTTTTTTCCAATAATTATTTCCGGCTCTATTTTTCGTTCGTTCTTAAAATTATAAATAAATAAAAAAAAGAGAGTGAAAATGGCAACAAAATATCAATAATCTGATATTCTTTTCCACAGAACTATGATGAGATTTGCTGGGCCAACATCCCTTATACCGACTAAACCGAATTTAATCAAATCCAATAGTATATTCTTCAAATCTAACGATATAATATTTTTCTAAAATTAAAATTAAAAGTCGAATATAAAATGGAAAACGAAATAAAAATGAATTTTGTTTTAAAAAAATCCGAATTCGAATCAAATTGAATAAAAACAAGCAAACGGGTATAAAAACTAAATGATCCCAAAAAATATAACCGATATGCGGATTCTCCACCCTAAATATGATTAACCATCTCTCGGTTTGGATTCGATTCAACCATATGACAGAAAATGAACTCGAGAAAGACATACATTTATACATATACATGTCACATATACATATATATATATATATATATATATATATATAGAGAGAGAGAGAGAGAGGCTTACCGGAAATTGAACAGAGCAAAAAAGGGTTCGGACGACGGGCGACGAGAGATTCGATGGGAACAAAGCGGAAAGCGAACGACTCAGGGAGTGAAGTGCAACAGAATCATGTTCTATCTCACTTTAAAAAACAAAACACAACTCATCTTTTTTTTCATGCTAATCTTCTTCACCTCATATAGAAATTATTATAATTACTTTGTTTTAAATGAAGAAAGAATCTCATACAAATCTTGATAAACTTCTATATAGACACCAAAACTCTTATCTTGATTAATGCATTCCATATGTCACATACTTTTTTTAATATGTTAGCAGATTCTTCGATTAAAATCTATCTCATGCTAATCTTCTTTTCCTCCATTAGAAATTAGAATCTATTTATCCCTCAATTTAAAAGATAATATATATATATATATAATCGGTCTATTCGATAATGAATAAAAATACACCAAGAAACGTAGCTGTAAGAAAAGGAAAACAGGCCATTGGAGCCACTTTTGGCGCCGTCAAAAAAAGCAGCATCGCATCCATAGAGAGGAATAATTTTTTTTTGTAAAAAAAAAAAGTGGATGCTTATTATTTATTTCACACAATCTCCGATTTAGAATCTGTCGACTTCACAGCATGCAACAAGTGGGAAGTTTTCCCACTGACAACGTACGGACATGTTCTTGGTCTTGGTCTTGTTGTTCTTCCTCTCTTTGATCGATCCGAATTCAAGGGCTATATATATATATATATATAAATCCTATGTGAAAAATGTGTGAAATATTCTACAGAGAGATCTTCTCAGAAGATCTGCATTTTCTAACCCGTATCGACATGTCGTGTCCCTTCCTCCCTCCCTCTCCTTCCATCACCTCGCAACATTGCCTTCGTTTCCCCTGTATATACACACATATATGTATGTATGTATGTACGCATTAGTACAATATTATGCGTTGTAATGTAATGTACTCGAGCCATTGATGTCTCTGGAAACAACTGACCTTGTTCCAGTACTCGGGATCCATCTTCATTGAAGAAACCATAATCCTCCTCACTGCGGTCGCATGTGAATACCCGCCCTTCCGACAATCTCCAAATCTCTTATCGGCAATGCTGTACCAAGTCTTTGTCCCGATATCCCGCACTTCCTCCGCCTTGTCCAGGAAATAAGTTACGGGACGCTCGCACGGGTCAGATCTCAAGGGTCGGGTATTAAACGTGAAAGGACCGTTCCCCCAACTCCGCCAAGTCTTGAAAGTCTGCAACGGCGTCCCCAAGTCATTTGCAGACAAAACATAGGTGTAGATCTGTACAGAGTACCCCCAAGCGACAGAAATAGACCATCGTCGCTTATGGTCGTAACAGAAAGTCTGCTGAAGAATCCGAGGTGGATCCAAGGGGTAAGCTTTCATCAATGTCTGCAAAGATCCGATCTGTGTCTGGTTCGGGAACATGGATTCCATGTTTCCAAGGTGGTGAAGCGACACAAGTGGCGCCATTGGATGAGCAGCAAGTAGTCCATATGGGTCTCCTCTTATATCAAGCTGAAAGATTTTAGCACAAAGCAGTACCAACAAGTGAGCATATACATATATATATATATATATATATACAAGTATTTCACATGAGTGTATATATACATGTATATATGCATTGCACGTAAAGATCGTAGAAACTAGTCATGTTTGACACATATGCTGCTGATATTTTGACATGTTCTAGTGTCTGTGAAATGAAACAGAGTGATTTGTGTGTGTGTGTGTGTATATACAGTATGCAGCATACTGACATGTGCCCATATGAAGTATAGTGTACATGAGCATGCAGCATGCATGCATGCTCATGTTTAGAAGAACACAAAAGACAGCTGCTATACATGTCCCTATCCATGATCATCTGAGATAATATTGTTTATAAAACGAGATCAAGACACTTCATGTGATCATACATCATTCATGCACGAACACGTTTAAGATTAAAAAGTTCAATGACAGAGCAAAGAAATATGGCTTTTTTTAAAATAAAAAAAAAACACAAGCGGATTCCTCGCAAGGAAGAGAACAAAGGGACGATTTCGCTCGCCACAAGAGTTACAGCAGATGAGGAGGCGTAATAAATGCCATGTGTCCGAACAAGGACACAAGCTCATGTGCTATCGCATTAAATTAAACAAAACATGCATTCACGGTCAAAGACTTGTATCATGCGCGCAGAAAGCAGACGAATCCAAGATTTTAAAATGCACTTCCAATAGCATCATACCATATTGTTATCCCATATTATTATCCAAAATCCGACATTCTTATCTTTAAACGATTACGCTATGAATGTTTTTTTTTATAATCTAAAAGTTAAAACCCGTGTGAATGTCCCTCCCGAATGAAGACTCGAACACAGGTTTGAGAAAGAGTTTTGTTCTCTTCCTTACCGGTTGAGCCACCTAATCTTGGGTACGCTATGAATGTTCATGATTGCTGAAACCATATAAATCTGTTAAGATTTTTCTTAACCTAGGCCCATGTTGCCAACTTGCCACCACTGGTCACCAATGGTTACTAAATTCATAAACTTTCGCGTTGCCTTGTTCTAATTTGGTGAAGCATACAGGTGAATTATGAAGGAAAGTGTACTAAACATAGAATTCGTACTATTTAATTATTGTTGGCTAATTAAAGTCTATGGATTGACTACTCATTAGTAAAATAATATTAATTTAATTATCTTTTTAGCACACTACTGGTTAAGTGATTAACACTTGTTTTGAAACCTTCAATTTTTCTTTAAGCATTTTTCGACGGCAAAAGCGTTTGTGCCACCCGTTTCATGGTACACGTGGCAATAACCCACCGAGGCGTCAACATCTACCGTTGAAATATGTCGGAGAAAGATATCAACGGGGCCTCTCAGCCCGCCACGTGTTATGTCAAGCAACCAATAGGAAACAAACGCGTGACGTACCTGGTGGAAGCCGCGTTCCTCGGTGAACGGAACGCCCAACTCGTTAACGCAGGCCGCGATTCTCTGATCGGAGCCGTAGAAGTAGAAGTAACGGTCGAGGCAACCGTCGAGCGCGTCTGTCAAACGCGCCGCGAGCGGTCGGCTAATCGCGAATCCGCCGCCGCCAAACGCCATGTTGTACGCGTGCATCACGTCCTGCTCGACGCTCTCCGAGTTTCCCCCGATGTACCACATCTGTTCGTGGTCGTACCTCGACAGGACCGCTACGAGGTTGTCTGAGAAGAAGACCGTGTCGTCGTCTCCCATCACGAACCACCGCACATCCGGCAGATTCAAGCGGAAACTATCCCAGATTATCCGCGCTATCCGAACCGCAGCTCTCGAGCTCGAGTACCTAAACCGAGTCCATCCAGAGTCTGAGACCCGAACCGGGATCGAGAACCGGTTATCGGTTCCTTTTTTGGGGATACAGATTTATGTAAGGGTTTGTGGAGCCAGACGAAGCCGCGGGTGGAATTCCGCCACCACAGGGATGTGTAATGGCTGCGATCGAGCCACGTGTCTGCCGCCCCGGCTATGCCGAAGAGAACGTGAGAGAGGTTGGTAGCCCCGGCGGATCCGGAGGGAGGGATGACCGCCGGAGATTTTAGCGGCACGGCGGGGAGGCGGAGGCGGAGGCGGTAGGCGGAGTAAGAGGCGGCGGAGGGAGAGAAGGCGGCGTGGAGAAACAGAGAGACGGAGGCGACGAGGCACGTGAGGATCGCGAGGCGCGTGAGGAGGATTACGTACTCGCGCGGCCCCTCCGGTCGGAAGAAGAAATAGGAAAACTTCAGGGCTTCGTGGCGGCAGAAATCTCCGCCGCCGGTATTCGTTTTCATCGTTAAAGCACGTGAAATCACTCCGGCGAACGTTACTTCATCGGCAGAGATTCGCCGCCGGCGATCTGGGTTACGAAATCGTCCCCGTCTCCGACGTTTATGTGGAACCTGGAGAGGCTTCTCCGCAAGATAATTACGAAAATACCCACGGTGGCCGGATTTTTTTTTTTTTCTTTTTTTGGTTTTCTGTGGCGATCAGAGTGGGATACGCATAAATGGAAGAAGGAGAAGAGGTGGAACCAGAAGACATAGAATGACTGAATTACCCTTCAGTCGAATACCATATTTCATGTTTACCCCCAGGAATCTCCCAAATTCGGTCTCATTAAATATATTACTTTTTCTTTTCACCGTTGTCTGATTGTATAACAAAAGGCTATTAGTGTAATGTCATGCTTGCACATTATAACTAAATTAGTATTTCATAAAATCTATATGGTTTATTAAAATTAAAAAAACACGAATTCTTTTTTTTTTGTTACTGCCGGTATTTTTTGAAATTATATATATATAGAAAGTACAAATCTTGTGTGGTATTTTTGCTTTTGTCACCATAAAAATTGTGTTGGCACAATATCTTAATTTGTTAAATATATATGATAAAATAGAATAGCTTGACAGGTGGAAATCGGCGTTCCTTTTGTGTTTTTTAAGATTCGAATTGACGATGTCCTTTAATAAAAACAAATAATTGAATATACCAATAATGAATTAATTATACTTTCATCTAAAACTTGGAAAAACATGTCCGCAAGTTCGCAACTACAGCGTGTGTATATATTTCATAATTCCTTGGATTAAAAGATAGGATATAAGTAAAGTTGTGAAAAACTATTTATTTTAACAATCATTTGTTCTAAAATGTATTAGTTTACATTTGAAAATTCTAAATGGTCCGGTATTAGACAAATAAAAAAAATAACAAAAAAAATCGAAATATAGACATGAAAAATTCTCAAATTTGTGATTATGATTGGGTAATTAATAATATATACGACTCATCCAATATTCCGATTTTGGTGTGCCCATAAATGTCATTTTAGTTAAAAGGAAACATATTATCGCAATTGAATTGACGTAATAAATAAGTTGATAATCGTAATGAGTTGTATGTGGCCGGCTTTATTCGATGGGTTAATTTAATTGGCCCATTGACTGATAATGACGAGCACAAGCGGGAATGATTTCGTGAAAATTCCAAAGTTGACGAACAAAATTCCACTCCCCTTGACTTGAAAAGTCAACCCTTTTTATTAGATAAAAAAAAGTTTGCCAACAAAATATTAACGATATCACTTCTTATGTATATATCTATATATATTAATACATTCTTAGGACATTGGAAATTTTGGACCAAGCAAGTTTGTGTAATTAATTAGCTATATTTTATTTTGCTTTGCTTATTTTTAGGGTCATTTTTTCAAACTTATAAAAAAAAATATGTCATTCCGTTTTATATCTATTTAGTTCATAAAATAGAAAAAAAAAATTACAAATTAGAATTGAAAAATATGTTAATAAAATAAAGACAAAAAAACGTAAAATTTTAAAGAATAATAAAATTGGTATTTTCTAATTAATGACACTTCTCTATATTACTCTACAATTACATGATTATTACAAATATTACAGTGTGATTGGTGAATAATTTTATAAAGGAAAAATTCGAAAACGATATCTTATCCATTCGAAATTAGTAAACAAAAATAATTCTGTTATGCAATCAATATATCTCTTTACTTAATAACATATCGATCAAAATTTTATCAAAGAACCTTTGTTATTAAGATTCAAGATATACGTGGAACCAAGTACAAACTCGTACTAGAACTGTTGAAAATATTTATAGTAAATAATTTTGGGTTTTCTACAAATATTTGGAAGTATAGGGGTTGTTTGTAAAAGATGGAATAATTTTGGGGTTCCTTTAGAAAGTTTCCGTTTGATAAAATCAGCGTTGGTTACATTGCATGTAACTTCATAGATGCATATGGACAACATGCACACGAACACGCTAGACACGTATACACACACGGTAACGGAATTTTTCCAGTTGTTTTCTTCAATGATCTGTTATATTTGACTTGTACATGTACTAAAATTAGTTTAAATTTATTCATATTAATTAATAACAATTAGAATCAATTTTATTAGTGTAATCCGATTAAACTAAATTTGATATTTTTTTTTACATCATATTATTATTAATAATCCATGATAAAAAAAAAAATAGGTCCATTTTATCTATATATATTGTAATTTTTGAAATTTTAAGCCTTAAATGCGTTTACCAGATCCATCCTTATTGGGCCTCATATGATTTAATGGGCTTTAAATTTATATCTGAAAGCCTATTACTATATCTATAACTATGTCCAATATTTGTGCCTCTAATGTAATATCATGTTCTCCAAAATGCCCCTGCATCTTATAGGATCTCTTTTTATAATCAATTATCGTGTATATATATATTTTTTGAAACGATGGAGGGTTTTAATTCATATTATATTTAACAGCAAAAAAATGACATCCTTCTTTTTTTCTTTGATTAAAATTCTCATATCATGATCAAATATATTTATAGAATAAGAATGACACGATCATATAAAAATATATATATTTTCATAGAAAGAGAAAATGAAAAGCAACCGGAGTCACCAAAAATAGACATCGGTTAGTAACTATTGAGAATTATTTTGTGACACAAAATTCGAAACATAAATATATCATAGATAACGTTGGTGTCTAAACAATTTAGTCGGTGTTTAAAAAGTATTAAAATTTTATTCGCCGAATTTTTTTATATTTTTATAATACATATAGGTTTAGAAATATAATTAACTTGATTTCAAAGAAAAGTCCTAAGGTCGTAACAAAGTGTATAATTAATTCAGAATTTCATAATAAATTCACGGCATTTATATATATAATGGGGAAAATCAGGACTCTTTGTACTTAAGTCACTTTGATATTGGACAATCTTATGTTTTATTTTTCTCTCGTACGGTGTCTTCATTATAGCATGGAGACAACCTTAGGTAGAATCTCTCAATACGACATATATCCAATTAATTAAAATCATGATATAATATATCCAATTAATCACATGCAAAGCATATTTAATGTCTAAAAACTTTATCAATATACACTAAAATTCAACACCAAAATCATTTGATGTATTGTAATCATCAATGCCCACAGCTGCATAATAATTGTAAAAAATACGTTAGGCTAACATAAATATTACGGAAATTGCTCGAGATTTTGTCATATTATTAAGGAATAAATAATATACAATATAGAAAACATCATAAACTCCAACAACTTGTAATTATATGTATAGGGGCAGTCTAACCAAGCTTGTAGACTAGTGGAAAATGTAGATACATTGATATATATATATATATATATATATGGATCTTCGCATTAATTTATCTACGTACCATAGTATAATCATCAAAGCTCACCAACTAATTATCACGTAAACATGCATCTATATAGATAATAGATATGTGTATATACATGTATATATATTCATGTGTATAGGAAGGCTAATAAGTGGAATCTCGAAACAACATGCCAAGAACTATAGTAGAATAAGACTTCCTCTCAAGGCATGTGTGTATATAACCGTGTATATATATGCACACATTCTCTTACACATGTATGCATGTACTCTCTCTCTCTCTCTCTCTCTCTCTCTCTCTCTCTCTCTCTCTCTCTCTCTCTCTCCTTTCTCATGGTTTCTCAACTATCTTCCGAGCATTCAATGCTTTAACCGTGTATACACACACATTCTCTTACACATATATATGTATGTATTGGTTTATGTGTTTATATATGTCTACGTGCGTGTAAAGCTACATGCCCCCCGAAAAAAAAACCTTTGTTTTTCTCCTTCTCCTCTATTGAAAGAAACATCCTCTATATACTAACTCGTGAATCTAAGACGATTGAGCGGAAAAAAAAAATCTTGGACGTTTGGTGTCTATATACACGTGTGGGATATGGAGAAAGGTCAGTGCTTAATGTCAGTGAAGAAACCGATGCCGAGGTTGTCTGAAACGGCGGTTTTCCGGTCACTTGGGGCGGGTTCAAGGGAGGAGAGAGCGTTTGCGTTTGCAGCCGCGGAGGATTACAGCGGTTGCGTTTGGCCACCGAGGACTTACAGGTGCAGCTTCTGCGGGAGAGAGTTCAGGTCAGCTCAAGCCCTAGGCGGCCACATGAACGTCCACCGCCGCGACCGAGCTCGTCTCAAACACAACCAAGAAGCAGATGATCAACAAGATCATCATCATCATCGCATTCTTGAGGCCAACCCGAATCGTCCAGAAGATTCAAGAAAGCTCGATGCGGCGAAAAGGGAAAACAGCATCGCCGTTCACGTGGCAGATTATGCGAAGAATCGAGAGAACCTGGAGGTTCTGACAGATTTGTCAGTGGGTCCAACAGGATCTTCATGCAAGAGGGCCAAAACGGATCATCATCATCATCATGACGTTTCATCAAGATTGCCATTGATGTTGGAGTTGGTTCTTGGAGTTTTCGAACCCACAAAAACGAGCTCCAAGAACAATACCATCAACAAAAATCATCATCATCACGAGGAATTGGATCTTGAGCTGAGATTGGGAGCTCATGACCCGCAGAAAGTGAATTGATAATCATCATACCAATGATATGATTGGGAGGAGGAAAAAAAAAATGTTTCGAGTTTATTAGACCTTTTATTATTATTATTATATAAAATTAGGGCTATGTTCATTTAATTTCATGAAAGAGAAATGAGAGCAAAAGTAGTTCTTTCTGTAGTTTTGGCTTTATATGTATCCCTCGGAAAGTCAAATTTATAACATCTGCTCGTTCTTTACTTTGACATCTGGAAAATGCCATACAATCATCATCGAATTAAAAGGAGAATAAATTTTCAATTATTTATTTAAATAATTTAAGTTTGGTCGTAGGCAAATGAGTTACTCCGATGCAAATGTGAGCAATTTTCGTTTTTATTAATTAGAGAACAAAAATAAATAAAATCACTATCGGCGTATTTATGACCAAAGTGCAAAGACAAGGGAAGAAGCTACGTGTAAATGCACTGTTCTGTTCTGTTTTGCATGAGTGGAAGTCGAAGAGGTCACAACTGCATAGATATGTGTGTGTATGTATATCATCGCATGTATCATATATATAGCTTACATATATACACATGTACACACGTGTGGATACATATATATATATATATATACACAAGGCTGTGGGACTATGAAGAGGGGGAAATCTAATTGAAGGAACTGACAGTGGGTCATTTCAAGCTCCGCAGTAACCAGACATAAGCATGTCAACGATTTGCAAAACTGTTACTTGAAATGACTATTTTTAATTATTTTGTATTCGTTTTTAATTTTTATTAAATTTCCGGTGGTTTAACTTGAATTCTCCAAAGAAAAAAAGTATAAAATTTTATCAATGAAAACGGAAGTAATAAGATGATAAACATAAAATATACTGTACAAATATTTTTATAGACAAATATATAAGCAATGAGATATATTTATATTCAATGGAGACAAGTGTAACTGTGGGTTTCAATATGGATTCATCCGTATCTGTATGCATGATGTAACCAAGGTTTAAAAATATTATATATCATATACATTGAACCGAAAATGGAAAAAATAAATAAAATAAAAACAGAGGAGAATTATACAAAGAATAAAAAAAATCATAATCAAGCTGAACCAAAACTATGAAAGAACAGAGAATTTAAATGTCTGCAATAATTTTTTTTAAAAAAAGAACAGAATAAAAAAATAAAAAGGAAAAAGAAACAGAGGAATTTATGTCATATAACACATAACCACCAACAAGAACTTCATTTCTTCCACATTTGGGGACTGTTGCTTCAGAATATTCAATGTACTTCTTCTCAACTCCATCTCTCTCTTCTTCCTTTGGTTTCTTTCATGTGCTTCTCCTTCATAATGATATACGGTGATAACCGTATATCATTTAACATCTTAATTTAAATAAACTGTATATGATTTAAATTGTTTTACCATTTATATCAATTTCAATTAACAAATGAATAAAAAAAAATCTTAATTTTCCTAAACATGATCTATCTAAAAAAAATAACTTAAGATAGAAAACGCTAGTTTATACAAACCAATCGATCACAAAGAAAGTAAAGTGAAAAAGATTTTGCCATCTCTAGTTCCAATAACTCAAAAATTGCATGAGATGCAGAGAAGGAGGGGTTTGATGTCTGCATCATAACAATAGGGCATGGGAGAGGAAAATGAGGTGTGGAGCATAGGGAGGCAAAGGGGTGACTTGTTTAGTGTAAAGGAAAATAAAAGAGAGAGAGAGAGAGAGAGAGAGAGAGAGAGAGAGTTATAAAGAGGGCACATGCTCAATAGAGGGACAAATAAATTTTGCAGTTTCGGTGATTGCCCATGAGAATTTACAATCCACTCTGCACTTTCCTCTATGTGATTTTCTATTTATGGATTTCTTTCCATATTTGATATTCTTGTGGTGGGTTGGTAGTTGATGTTAGATCCTCTTAGCTACAAAGACTTTTTGCTACAACCTTAAATCCTTTGTGGGTTCATTTTATTTTATTTTTGTAAGATTTTGGTCTTTGTATTGAAAATATATGGTTCAACCTATGTAGGATCCAATGTGACAATACAAGTTAACATCTTATATCTATCTATCTATCTATCTATGTACCGTATGATTCATATGCAAAATAACCATCTTGTCAATTTCATTCCTATGTATCTTAAAATCCAAATTTATCAAATATACAAGTAAACATCTATCGTGACGATTTTGAAATAGATAAAGAATGCTTTATATATGTCGCATTGAAACAAAATTATTGTTTTCGATGATCAAAATTCCTTCCGTGATATTACCTCGAGTTTGTGAACTCATTTAAGTTTAGATTTTTTTTTTAAAATAAAAATATTAAAAAAAAAACCCCAAAATGCTCCCTTTATAGAAATAAAATGTACTAAACTGAGGGTAAGCTATTAATGGGCTTTATAGCCCAATTGATGGGCTGAGGCCCAATACAATCTCTCTCCGCTTTTTTGCCGAACCGTTCACCACACATCTATTCAACAGTAACAACACTCTGAGAGAGAGAGAGAGAGAGAGAGAGAGAATGGCGACTGATAAAACCAAGGATTCGCGATGGTCCCTCGCCGGAAAAACCGCTC